CTGCGGAGTTACAGGGGAATTGCAAGGTCGCTCCGCTGCCAAACGCTCCTCCCTGCAGATGCCTCTTCCGAAGAGGGAAAAACGGAGCAGCTGGTGACCCCGTCCCACCTGCTCCCACCCTGAGCCCTTCGCTGCTGCCCCAGCTCGCTCTGTTACCCCAGATTGCCTTTTCCCCCTTTTTTCGGGAGGGCACGCAGGCAGCGCGGGCGGGCCAAACACAAACCTCGGCTTGCCAAGCTTCATGTCTGCCCAGAAATAGATTTTATGAACTGCTAAATCAAGTTGGAAAATGACTTTTCCTTTCAAGCAGGGAACGCTGTTTCCTACGTAAACGCTTCGCTTGTGACATCTCATTCAGGTACCACCCGACACCCTAAAGCTGAGACTTTTCCCGCAGTAGAAGTGGACTCACACACCCAGTTACTTGCAGCAGGATTTACAGGGAATGCTCTGGCGTTTTTGGAGGCTGTTTTCCCTATGTCTACCGTGCTGTACTGTGCCTGCCGTGGTAATTAAAAATAGGAAGAATGCAATTAGGAAAAGAGCGAGCAATGACATCTCGATCAGCGGTTTTGAGGCGCGTAGGACACTTGCAGCTTGAGGTTTCAAGTGGTGATTACAATTAGGACTTAGGAATCAGTTCTCCTATAGTTTTACACGATGTTGAATTACCTTAACATTTAACTGTGGCAGTGAATGGATCTTCATTTTAAGTTTGCTTTGTAGAATTTAAATTCCTCCAGTGCCGCTCTCCGTATCTCCGACGCTGAGGTGCCGAGTACTTAGGTTTTGATGCGTTGGGTGCATGGGTAGCTGGTACTTCTCTGTGCTGAGAGCACGGGAAATGGTCAGGATGGATCCCACACTGAGCCTTACGGACCTCCGTGTCAAACACGGCCACGCCGCTTGCGCTTTTTCCCACCACTTTGGTCCCAACTAGTTTATGACTTGGCAACGTGCTACTGGTGAATCCGTGTGGGCCGGTCACACTCATTTCACAGGGACGTATATGTGAAAAGTCCAGGAAACGCTGCACAGAAAAGCTAAACAAAGCGGGTCTGAGTTTCATAGAGCTTGTCCTGGATTCTGTGGGATCTTTGGTATAAAAAATTCAGGAATACCCTCTACCGACAAAATTCTTTTGCCGTTGGAAAATGGCACTTTCTATCTAAAATACACAGCCCAACCTTGGAGAGAGAACACGGGATCTGACACCGTTGTTAGCGATGTCACCTCTGAAACTCAGATTTTTCTGGCACCCCTCCTAGGATAGTCTGTGAGGAGAAACATCCTGTGTACATACGCTTGGGTTCGCCTGTCTTCGATGAGATCTACATAATCTCTTGCTGCGGTGACTAGTCCCATGGCCTTTAATCCAGAGCTACTTTCTGCCGCCAAGATGCATTAATTTTAGCAAGCAGAAATTGTAGTATTGAGCCTTTTCTTTCTGGTAAGACAGGTTTCATTAAGTCGGAATGTGTAACAGTGGGCAAAGTTTTCAAGTTACCTCGCTTTGTCTTGGTTTTACCCAATTTCTGTCCCTCCAAAGATGAGATAATTGCTTTTCCACAGGAAAATCTGAAAGAACAGAAGTTTGTGTACAGAGTTGGGAGTTACTGGGCTTTGCAGTCCAGTGACTGCATCTCTTCAACAAACCAAAGCGGAAAAAGCTTTTTGGGGCTGGACTTTCAACTGAAACTTTTTTTCCCTTCTTGTTATTTATCTCTCCTTTATTTTATGTAATTCCTAAAAAAACACCTGGGAAAAGGGTTGTGTTCATTTTTTCTGAAGAGTTTCCTTCAGCTGGAGCTAGAGAATTGAAATGAAAGATAAAAGCTGGAGAAACATCACCAGAACCGGGGTCGGGGAAGAACAGCAAGGCTGTACAGCGAGTTGGAATGTCCAAGTGCACCAAGTCCCTAATGCTAAGCGCTGACTAAGCTACGTAGCTTGAGGGATGTTTCCTTATTAGTCTCTCTAGGTTAGCAACTGCAAATAATAACGAAAAAAAAAAACCCAAAAGTGGTTATTTCTGTGCATCAGGTACAGATTGCGGAATACTGGCTGTCTGCAGATCAAAGCTTGGGAATTGCTGGTGCAGTGAACAGCAACTGGGCAAAGAACCGTCCTTACAAATTATGCAGGGACACCTTCCACTAGACCAGGTTGCTCCAAGCCTCATCCAGCCTGGCCTTGGACACTTCCAGGGATGGGGCATCCACAGCTTTTCTGGGCAACCTGTCCCAGTGCCTCCCCACCCTCTCCGGGAAGAACTTCTTCCTGATATCCAATCTAAACCTCCCCGCTTTCACTTTAAACCTGTTACCCCTTGTTCTGTCACTACAGGCCCTTGTAAAAAGTCCCCCCCAGCTTCCTTGTAGCCCCTCCTGGCACTACAACTTACTAGTTCAAAGATTAAAACTGTATAAACCTTATTTTTGTATTTATTTTTCCAGAAAGGTTAGTAGCCTAATCGATGACAAATGGAAAAGATCCTGAACTTCAAATACACTACTATGGGAAGTTGGTATCGAGCATTAGAGCGAGGGAAAGCTACATCAGCAGGTGTCACTGCAGGCTCCAGAACAAGCGCACGTTGCAATTACAACCTGGTTTATGTCAGACGTGCATCAGGTCTTGTTCTTCTCCTAGGCAGCAAGAATGAGTGGAAATGAATCTGCCGACATGTAGTATTTCCCACAGCGTTAACGTTTTCCCCGTGCAGGACGTGTTTGCACTGGGCATGTAAACGGAACCACGCTCCGGTGGTGGCTTACCTGCTGCGCGCCGGAGCCGACAAGGAGATCCTCACCAAGAAGGGAGAAAGGCCGGCGCAGTTAACGTCCAAGAGGGAGATACGGATGATGTTGGGAGGTAAGGCGATCGGCGAAGCCATACGATCCTCAAAGCTCTGGTAAAAGGCTGCTTAAAGCACGTATGGTCTGTCTTTACTCTGCATGTGGAGGGGCTGCGTTCAGATTTTAGAACTAACCGTGACTTGATTTCTAGAGCGTTCACTTGGTAAGGAAGTTTAAGAGGAGGATTACCAAAAATTCCATATCCAGCTAGCCAAACTCAAAACACCGAACAATTAGAAAAGGTGTATTTTGAAAAACGCTGCGATTAAACCAGTGACAGATGCAGCTTCCTATTTTCCAAAGGGCAACAGGAGAGGAATCTCTCAGATTTGTATCAAGCCCTAATAGGAGCAACACGTAATGTTCCCCGTGTTCTGTGGAGCTGAAGCGACGGCGTTGAATAAATGGGAAATCAGCAGCCCAGATAGAGAGCTCATTAAAGGGCACGGGTAGAGCGTTTTTGTCGTGTTGGAGCGAGTCGGCTTTGCTGCTGGAGGTGATAAATAATTTGAAATGCGGTCGATTAACAACCTCCTCCTTCCCCTTTGTATTCCCTTGTCTGGTTTTGTTTTCATTATTGTCTCCCAGCTGTCGGATTGGTAATGTTTCAGCTCCCCCAGTACTGCATGTTCTTTTCCCTTTATCCTCTGCCTTAGTATCGAGCAACATCTTACCCTTTGGCTTTCATTGCCTCATACATTATGAAGACGGTAGCATTGTGCCGCCAGATACCGCGTTACAACATGCTGGATTAAAACACAGCCGACCAAACCAAAACCAGTGCAGTGTTTAGAAGGAAATAGCACCCCCAGAATTCCTGGAATCAGACTCTGCTTTTGTATTTACTGTATTGCAACACCTGAGCATGGTTGGTTCTGTTTGCTGTAGAAAAAAGGCCTAGTGGTTCTTGATTTTTCTTTTATCCTGGGGTGCTTTTAACCCTCCACTTCCCACAGCTTAGAAAAACCACCCCACAGTGCAATAACGATACCTTTTTCCCCCTCAAATCAGTCTCGGTGTGTTTGTTTTTTGTCTCTTGTGGTGTTTGTTTTACAGTGGAAGATGATGAACTCCCAGACTTAAAGAAAGATTCAGATCTGCCAATCATCCCCAATTATCTGGCCAACCCACCGTTCCCTTACGTTTATCACACCCCGAGTAACAGCGTTCCGGATCCCTCCGTGAACGGGAGTATCTCACCCTCAGAACCGCGAGGTCCCGACCCCTCCTCGCCCGACGTGGAGCCATGCGCGCCAGCACAGCGCGGGACTGCTGCTCCCGAGGGCAGCCTGCCGTCCCTGCCCAGAGGCTGTCCCGCTCCACCGTGCTCCAAACCAGTCCTTCCCAGAGCTCCGCTTTACCAGGGAGCCGTGCCTTGGAGCAGAAGCCCTCCGTCGCCAGCTGGCTCACACCAGCCTCAGCAAGAGAACGGCTCCTCTATGGGGCCCGTGCCAGCATTTCAGCCAGTTTTCTTCACAGGAGCTTTTCCACTTAATTTGCAAGGTAACAGTCCAAATCCCTCCTCGCTTTGTCTTAAAACTTCTGTCATCTTGGACAGTGAAAATAGACCAAGTCAGGGTAGAGTATTCATGGCACTTCCGGAGGTTTTCCAGGCTCCCATGCTTAGGCATTCGGGAAATGTTTGAAGGGATTTAGGCAGGTATCCTCTTTCTGCTGGAACTGTTATTAAAATATCGATGAAGACATTTGCCATTTGTCTCAAATGCCGTAACGGCACGCAGACACAAGGGTGATCTGATTCTCTAAAGAGCGTACGCCGCGCTTCAAAGACTGTGAGCACGCGGCCAGCGAGCCTGCGAGAGTGCTGGCCCGGCCTGCGGGCCCGAGCCTGGAGGTGGGCTGTTAGCGATCTGCCATTCCTGCGGGTCAACTGCCTGCCCCAAGAGGGACATCTGGCATCGCAGCTCTGAATTTCACTCTGGAAATTAAGGCTGCTCTCGTGCCGTGACTTAGCGACACGAAGTTAACTGATGGCCGAAAGAAAAAGCCGGTGAAAGCAATGGCGAGTTGCTCGGGAAATGGGTAACCGGCGTGATCGGGTTTTAGCTTCGCCCTTGTCAGACGGCGGTCACGCAGGGGTTCCTGGATGCACACACGCCGCGTTAGACTTGTAATGATTTTTTCACCTAGGCTGATGAAAGTCAGTCTCTTTAACGCTGTGGTCATGCAAGTCCAGTGGCTTGCTTTCCATGGATTCTACAAACAAGGTTAACAGAACACTGAAATATTTGGAAGTTAGTATGGAGAGGGCTCTTCCAACTCCTTTATACATCTGCCTATTAATGTGTCTTTTTATTTCTAACAGAACTGGTGCTTAAAGTTAGAATACAAAACCCTAATCTGAGAGAAAATGACTTCATTGAAATTGAACTGGACAGACAAGAACTGACCTACAAGGAGCTGCTCCGAGTGAGTTGCCGCGAGCTGGGTGTTAACCCTGACCACGTTCAGAAGATCAGAAAATTACCAAATACAATGTTGAGAAAGGTAAGAACTCTACATTTTCAAGTGCAGTAACTTACAAAAAAGATTTTAAGGTTACTGTTAAAAGGAATAACTTGTTGGTCACCTGCATAGGCCCATGTTGCAAAAAAAAAACCCCAGACCAGGCCAGACCAAACTACCTCCCTTCAACTTCCAGCACTCAGCAGTAGTTTGATTTTTTTAGTAAAAAAGGTTCTCAGGTTGCTTTATCATCATTTCCTTTCATACCCCGTGGGTGTTGAGCCCCACTAATACTGGATTTCTCTGCTGAATTCAGTGCCGCGCCACACGCCTGCGGCCTGCCCTGCAGTACCCGAGTTCTGCTGGCTCAGTAAGGACAGGATGCAGACAGAAAGGGGGTTCAGAACTGCGCCAGGCTCTAAGCAGAACGGTCTTCTCGGGTCGGTGACACTCCCCTGTGCCGCAGACACAGAACAGACCCGCTGACCTCTTTTACCGAGTCACTCGGGAATCTCTGCAGAGCGTTGTTGGTGTCAGTCACGGAGCTAATCTGATCAGAACTAGATTAATAGACTTCACTGTACTGCATCCTCACTGAGCGTAAGACTTGTTAGTCAAGAGGTGGAAAAAAAGCGACATAAGCAGTTCTGTCCCTTGCCAGCTTAGGGTGCTGTTGAAAGGACTGGGTTTATCCCAGCTCTAAGGACTTCAGGCGCTCCGGGCAGGGCTGCAGGACACTTGTTGTTCCTGAGGCGACATAAACCGAATTGTTTACTGCGGTTGAGCAGCAGGGTGCAGCTGCAGAGGGGATCCAGCTCAGGCCTGCGCTGTGGCAGGGTGTCATCCGCTGCTCCCCAGAGACCCTGCCTAAGGCAGCGCTGCGACGGTGGTGCTGGGCTGCTCCTGGGGAACCTTCCTGGGGGGAGGCAAGAGTCGATTCCTGAGCTTCTAAGAATTACTAAGGGGGAAAGAAGGGAGTTGTGGGTGGCATTCAGTGGATCTTTACCGGTGTGATTCCACTGATCACTGGCACCCACTGTCAGTATTGCATTCCTTCAAAAATAGACCGAAGCGAGTAGCAGAATAGGATCCCAGAATAAGATGTGACAGGATGTCTGCTTTCCACTTTCCTGTAAGGAACCGTCCCATCCGCGGATGAACGCGTTATCCTGTAAGGAACCGTCCCATCTGCGGATGAACGTCATCCTCTAAGGAACCGTCCCATCCGCGGATGAACGCGTTATCCTGTAAGGAACCGTCCCATCTGCGGATGAACGTCATCCTCTAAGGAACCGTCCCATCCGCGGATGAACGCGTTATCCTGTAAGGAACCGTCCCACCCGCGGATGAACGCGTTACCCTGTAAGGAACAGTCCCATCCGCGGATGAACGCGTTACCCTGTAAGGAACCGTCCCATCCGCAGATGAACGTTACCCTGATGAGCCCGTTATCCTGAAAGGAACCGTCCCATCCACGGATGAACACGTTATCCTGTAAGGAACCGTCCCGTCCGTGGATGAACACGTTACCCTGTAAGGAACCGTCCC